CCCCAAAACCCCAAAACCCCAAAACCCCGTGGCTTATATAATTAGTTGATAAATTAATAAATATGATCCTAAAAGAAGAGCACTTGCTTAGAGATTTACTTGGCGACCACCATAAGAAAATAGATTCAGAGGTTCTCAAGATCATGCTCCCAGAACTTGAGGAGAAAACAATGCATTTGGTACAGGAGGCGAAGAAAATCATGCGTCATTCCAAACGGAAGGTCTTAAAGCCATCCGATATCGACCTTGCACTCAAAATGTTAGAGAAAAACATCGAGTTTTCAGGTATGCTATATTAGGCTAGTCACAGATATTTATGTAAAAAGCCTCTCATAAAATCTATCTTAGAAGATAGCAAACTTTTACCTAATCTATCTTCATAAAGCTATTTGTGTGCATAAAATTAAAGCAGCAGAATGGATTTTAATTTATAGCACCTCTCGCACAGATAATGGGCTCTGCCCCTTTCGAGTTTGAGAAGAGAATTACTGAAGAGAACACACAATGGACTGTCAAGAATGAAGATTTAAATCTGATGCAATTCCTTAACAAACCTATCATTGAGACTCCACTAAAAATTGGACTTGAGATGCACTGGGCTTTAATAAATGGAGAAATGCCAATAGTGTCTGAAAACATACTTCCTCCAAAGGAGAAAAGGAACTTAAAGAAGAAGGAAGAAGATCCTTTTACCCACTCACTTTTGCCTAAAGAGCCATCAATTAAAAAGAAGCTTCGAATGGAGTTCAAAAAGGAGCTCTCCGTGACTAAAGAAGTAATGGAGTTCTACTCAAAATTTCTTGAAATTTTCCAAGTAGAGGAAAACGAGAATATCCAGACACTCTCTCAAAGAACTTCGTTAGAGATTTCTTCACAGCTTACAATGTACATTGACCTGATATCTAAAGAGCCAAGTATAGTAGATGTAGTGCCTGCCATTTTTGATTTCATTTACAAGAAGACAATTGATTACATAACTTCTAAGACTTGTGGGGATGCCAAAATGATGTTTATATGTATGACAATCACAAAGCAATTGTTATCCAACCCCTTCTACAACTGTGAAGAGAAAATACATGCTTTCATAGACTTGCTTTATGACACCCTGATTAGACAGGAATATACAGAGGAGAGCTTAGATAAATGAGCTGATATCATAATGAAATCAAAGAGCATATCTGCTGAAGCTCTGAACCTTATCATTCTTGAGTATGGCACAAAGTACCAGTCCATCATTAAGTCTATTTTTGATTGTGTGAAGGCTCAGCTTCAGAAAGAGGACCGCTCGTATCTGCTGCTGTATGGACCACTTTACTTTGTCTCTCTACAAGATCTATACCATAGCACAGATTGTTTGTTCTACACTAAATATTTGAAAGAAATTCTGAAAGAAGTCAAAGGAGAAGCATTTAAGGAACCTTGTCTTGAAATAATCAAAAGGATCATTACCAATCTTATAAAGTTCTTGAAACTTGATACTGGAGATAAACAGACCATTGGTAAGTACACAAGATATTCATGACTTTTCATGGGCATCTAGCTTAACAAATCCGTCAGTTTCTAAGAAAGACCTTGCTTTTCTCAAGAGTTCTTGCGAATTAACTTGTAAATAATTTAGAAGAAAATGAGGTTAAGGAAATATTGGCTCTACTATATGAATACTTCCCCGACTATGTACATCAAGATGATTACTCACTAGAAATGGCATAAATTATCTGCAGGATATCTACTTAAGTGTAATTTTGAGGCAAAAATATTCTATAACTCAAGATTCAATTGTGGTAAATTCAAAAGGGGTTTTGGGGTTTTGGGGTTTTGGGGTTTTGGGG